TGAAATCTTGCGGAACACCCCCCCTCCCCTTACCCCCCCTCTCCATGAAAGTTGCACAATAGGCACCAGGTGGAGGATGTTTTCACTCGATTTTTATCCAATCTAGTGTGTGTGTAGTGTCGAAGTCAGGAGATAAGTAGAAATGCAGTAGGTAGTGCAGCTGTAGTTGTAGTTGGAAGTTGTGACATACAGGTTGACTGGAGTGGTTAGTAGTGAAAAGTATGTGATTTTCTTGTCTATAATGCTGTTCAGGTTAGTTAAGTACACAGCACATTGGAGCCCGGATTTCAAGTTTACACTTCGGCCTGCACCCGTGACCGTTAAGGGCGAAAATTTGGTCACCTACCTGAAAATCAGGGTCACAACTCCGTTACAAGAGTTTCCGACATTCCGAGACCCTGTTCTTGAAAGCAGGGAGTACTGGAAGGCTGGTAGGAAGCATCTGGGGGCTTGGATGACGTCAAGGACACGAGCTGACGCGGCGGAGTTCGCCACGATTGGCGGGAATGTCTGACAGAGATTCGCTTCTAGGAAGTCCGATACCAGAGTCACTCAATGGAACAGACCTCCTCTGTACACTAAAGTAAATGAGCTGAGCTAATCACATCCTGCCAACTCCCTGACCAAGTTACCAGACCACACAATAGCTCCGCCCTGCCACATGTAGCCAGCATTTTTTTCTCGTTTGATTTTCGAAACCTAACACATTACAGGGACGTCTTTAACGTATGACGCAAACTACGTTGACGGGGGATTCGGTGCTGCCGCCAACAACACCAGCCAAAAATCAAAGGCGAGATGAAGGTGACACATTCCCGCTCGGACTTATCTCAACCACAACCTGTAAAGAAATAAACGGCCAAGTGGAGGATATAACACAAAGGCCCGGACTGAAAGACATACTCCGAATAACAAGGGGTATATCAACACCCTATCGGATTCAGATCCAAGCCCACCTAATTCCCACCCACCTTGCCCACGCTGCTCCCAGCTTGCAAGTGCTCCACTGCTGACGGCACTGCAGGAAGGCCCTTGAACGGCGTCGGATCGAGGGCCACCTGCGATGAACGGGGGAAGAAGGATTTGAGACGCCTCAGAAATTGATGACAGAAGACGGACGGAAAGGGGGAGAGAGACGAGGGCACAGTGTATGGGGGTGGGAGGAAATATAAATCTTAGAACCCAGTAAAAGCATAACTCGAGACGAGAGAGAGGAAGAGGGCAGTGAGCTTGGAACACAAAGAAAATCAGCCCTTATCACCTCCGCTACTGCACGCTACCTCCATGCCCTCTCTCTCCATCCCACCTTGAGCAGGGCCTGCTTGGTAGAGGGTCACCAGCTTGGTGAGGTGCGAGCGCCACAGTTGTGGGTAGTGCAGCAAGAAGAACCCGACCTGGAAATGTGGGAGGAGAACGGAAGCTTGGAGAAGGGTAGGAAATCATTGCGCAAAAAAAAGAAGGGCGGGAAAAATCCACAGATGGGAGGAAGACGGAGCACGCAAGAATGAACCAACGTGCAAGAGGGAGGAGGCGGGCCAACACCGGCAAAGATAGCAGAGAAAGGGAGAAGAGAGATGGACAAGAAGAGCCAACACAGCAGCAGCAAGCTTTGCTCCACTTGACAAGAAGGCGGCGTTTGATAAGAGATTGAAAGGTGTGCTTTCAGTCCATTTGATGGTGCTTTAAGGTACAGCAAGAGGTGCTCCCGAAGGGAGGCTTGAAACCGTGGCCGTGTGTACAAGGTTGTGAAAGGGGGGTTTATCATGTGGCTCGGTGTGGCCGTGTGTACAAGGTTGTGAAAGGGGGGTTCACGTGTAGAAAGTGAATTCTTGAGACGTCTCAAAAAATCACTTTCTACATGTGGGTCGGTGTGGAAAAAGGGGCAGAAATTCTGAACGGGTTCACCCAAAGTTGAAGAAGAAAGAAGAAGAAAGAGAAGATCGGATAGAGAAGCTTGGCTGAAACCAAACAAGGTTGGATGGTGAGCAGAATCCAGCTTTGCACGTTAACCCGAGAGATGAAGTTTTCATGTAAACTGCCAAAACATACACCCGCAAGCCCATACATCCCTATCCAACACATACCAGCGTCTGGGAGTTGGAGAGCAGGCGCTCACACAGACCAGGATAAGCCTTGCTCACCCACTGCCCCTCCTGCCCTGCCGTGTACTGCAGGAGTGTAGGAGGGGCACACAGGTAGGTGCAGAAAGGGGACAATCAGCTAATATTCTCTTCATTCATTCACTAGGCTGCTGCCGACGCAACATGTTGGGTTGCCATCCCGGTGCAGCATGCCAGCTGGTCAGGGGGCTCACACGAGTGAGATGGGAATGGTATGAATAGATCACGAGAAACAAAAAAGCGACAAAGATGCTAATACTGCACCACATACAAGCAGCCATGACTCGTGACATTTCAAAGTAATATTTTACAAGCTCCCTATGCATGGGTTCTGATTACTGAGTGACTTTTTGTCTATCTGGGTGGCTTTTCACACATCTTTTTTTGAGGCGCATCAAAACTAGACTTTCTGTCTACCTGGGTGGCTTTTCACACATCTTTTTTTGAGGCGCTTCAAAACTAGACTGTCTGTCTACCTGGGTGGCTTTTCACTCTTTCCAGGATCTTTCCATCCACACTTCTCACACATACCTGTGACATCATTCCAATCACAATGAGCCTCCCAAATCGCCCAAGGGCCTTCAGAGCAGCAGCAAACATATCTCCCCCCACAGACTCGAACACCACCGCTGCTCCCTGTGGCCCACAAGCCTGCTTCAATGCCTGCGACGGGACAAGGGAAAAGAAGAGTGGAAGACGGAAAACGACAAAAAAAGGAAGTGATTCCTCTAATTTCATTGCAGCAGCAAACATATCACCCCCCACGTAGTCGAGCACCACTGCTGCTCCCTGCGGCCCACAGGCCTGCTTCAATGCCTGGTGGGGGAAGGGAGAAAAGGAGGAGTGGTTAGGAGGCCAAAGGGGAGGGGAAAGGAGAGTGGACGCGGAAGAAAAACAAAGGAAAAAAAAGGAAGAAAAGAAAACTACCAAGAGCGGGAAAAGACACGCTGCCACAGTGCGTGGAAAACTAAAAATGATGCTTTGAAATCTTTGATTTAGCCAAACGACAAGTCTACTCACCCTGGCCATGTCTTTTTCTGTCTGGTGGTTAATCACCACATCCGCCCCAAGGTCCCTTAACACTGTGTTGGCGATGAATCATCAATCATCCAAACATCACACTCTCACCTTGGCCATGTCCTTCTCTGTCCGGTGGTTAACCACCACATCCACCCCGAGGTCCCTCAGCACTGCAGCCTTGCTCTCACTGCCACATGTCGCCACAACCCTGTTCCCTGCCAACTTCGCCAACTGGCAAGAAAGGTGGAGGATACAGGGGGAGGAAAAGGGAGGTGGGCTTATTGAACCGAGCAAAGAGGGGGGTACGATCACCAGCACGGCTGCCTTGCTCTCACTGCCGCACGTCACCAAGTAAGGTGGGGAGATAGGAGAGGGAAAGAGGGGGTGGGTTCATGGAACTGAGTAAAGAAAGGAGAAAGTGGAGGGGGATATGATCATCAGCGCTACTGCTTTGCTCTCACTGCCGCATGTCGCCACCACCCTGTTGCCTGCCAACTTCGCCAACTGACATAGTGGTGCGGAGGGGGACTGGGTGGGTATACTGAATTGAGCATTGACAGGAGAACGTAAATGCTAGCTGATCGAAGCACAAATTTCTAACAACTTGAAGGGAGAGGAGGAGGAGAACGTGGAAGTTGGAGTCACTCTTGAGAATTCTCAAAAGGGGGAGAGGGGAACTTGGTGGAAGGTTTGACATCCCATACAGAAAGGATGGATGCGAAAGTACAGCAGTGAATGATGAGTGATCAAGAAGGATAGAGAACAGCGTAGCAAAAGCGAGCTGAGAAAAACCCATGGAACGGGCACGCTCAATGCTCAAAGCTCACAGCTCTCAGCAGCTCACACTTTCCAGACGCTGCTGCTCTGGCCTCTCTGCTGCTCTGGCCTCTCTGCTGCTTTCGTCCCTCACCTGCACCGCAAACTGGCCAGTCCCCCCAGCAGCTGCCGTCACCAGTACCGTCTCGCCACTGCCCATGCGCCCAGACTGGAAGGGAGAAGTGAGGGCGGAAATGACAGATGAACGCCGGCCACCCAAACATGCGAGGCGACAGTCCGGCACAGGAATAACCCATCGCGCATCCACAAGAATGAACTCAGCAAATGCGCATAAGTCAATTCCTCCCCCAGTGTACCTCGGATAGAGCGATGGAGGCAGTGAGGCCGCTGGTAAGCAGAGCCACCATTTGTGGGGAACAATCAGGCACAGGAATCACCCATCGGGCATCCACCAGCATATACTCAGCAAATGCGCCATACGCCAACGCTGCTGCTGCCTGCCCCCACTGCCAGTCCCCCTTTGCTCCTTTTTTCCATAGACCCAGTGGTGGTGCTGCCTGTTAGTGCGACTATCTCTCCCACTGCCTCGAAGCCTGCGTCGAAGGGAAGCTGCTGGGATGCTTCTGCCTGGCTGCCTGCGTAGCGGCCGGCTGAGTAGTTGACCTGAGGATGGGTGGGGATGATGGGGAGAGGGGATGGAGGGATGAGAGGAACTCCAAAAGGGCCCATAAAGCGGAAAGAAGATTCATGGAACACTCACATCGCTGGCGTTCACTCCTGCGTATCGCACTCGCAGCAGCACCTTCCCTGCTGGCATGGGCAGTGGCAGTTGCAGCGGCAGTGGTAGTGGCAGTAGTAGTGGCAGCAGCAGCAGCAGTGGCAGGGGCAGTGGCAGGGGCAGCGGCAGCAACACTGACACAGCAAGCAGCACTCACATCGCTGGCGTTCACTCCCGCGTATCGCACTCGTAGCAGCACCTTCCCTACCGGCACGGGCAGCGGTAGTGGCAGCGACAGTGACAGTGGTAGTGGCAGTGGCAGAAGCAGAATACAGGGGCAGCAACAGTTGCGGCGGAACGCAACTCACATCGCTGGCATTGACCCCCGCGTATCGCACTCGCAGCAGCACTTTCCCTGCCGGCACGGGCAGTGACAGCGGCAGCGGCAGCAGCAGGTGCAATGAATCTCACGAAGGAGTGCAACTCACATCGCTGGCGTTGATTCCTGCGTATCGCACTCGCAGCAGCACCTTCCCCGCCGGCACGGGCAGAGGCAGTGGCGCCTCGATGATGCTGATGGCTTGCCTGAAGTCCGAAGAGAGGCGCTGCACCACACTGGGGGAGGACGAGATAGAAAGGAGGATAGACGTTGACTTGGTTGACTGGATTGACTGGTACGTGCAGTGGCAGTGGTGGCTCGATGATGCTGGTGGCTTGCCTGAAGTCCGAAGAGAGGCGCTGCACCACACTGGGGTTGGAGGGAGGAGGGAGATAGGACCACCATCAAAAGATCATCATCCCACCATCATCCGATTACACGGTCATCACCCATCATAACCCATCACCACCCATCATCACCCATCACCAACCATCACCACCCATCACCACCCATCACCAACCATCACCACCCATCACCACCCATCACCAACCATCACTAACCATCACCAACCATCACCACCCATCACCACACATCACCAACCATCACCAACCATCACCAACCATCACCAACCATCACCACCCATCACCACCCATCACCACACATCACCACCCATCCCCTCACAACTCACAGCTTTCGGAAAGTTGAAGGCAGACCACTCGCCACACCCACAAGAAGCTTCCCAGAAGCTTCACCCCCAGCTGCGCCCAAACCAGCACCCCTCCTCGCACTTGGCATGGCACCCAACGCCAATGCCCCTCCACCACCACTTGAATCACTTTTTCTGTCACTTCCTTTGCTGTCACCCCCTTTACTATCACCTCCCCCAGGTGTGCCCGCCACCAGGTAGCGCCTCTTCTCCTCCTCAGTCGGCCACCACTGCTTGCCCAGCCGGTTGGTGATCCACATGCACTCGCCTGCTCTCTTTTCATCTTCTATCAACTCGGCCAGACCTGAACGGGAGCAAGGGAGGAGGAAAGAGCTTTAGGAATCATCCCTGTTACTGTCACCCCCTTTATTATCACCTCCCCCAGGTGTTCCCGCCATCAGATAGCGCCTCTTTTCCTCCTCAGTCGGCCACCACTGCTTGCCCAATCGATTGGTGATCCACATGCACTCGTCTGCTCTGTTTTCGTGTTTTGAGACGTCTCAAAACACTTCTATCAACTCGGCCAGGCCTGTGAGGAGCGGGGGAAGGGGGCGAGTGGGTGGGGAGAGACAAGAAAGAAGGCCTGATATCCACATGCACTTGCCCGCCTTCCTCTCATTCGCTATTAACTCGGCCAGACCTGTGAGACAACAAAGGGCAGGGAGGGGCGCCAGTGGTGGTGATGATACATGGTGGTGTGAAGGTGGTTCATCATCAGTCGGCCACCACTGCTTGCCCAGCCGGTTGGTGATCCACATGCACTCGCCTGCCCTCTGCTCGTCCTCTATCAACTCGGCTATGCCTGTGAGTAAGTTGGGGAGGGCGGGATGGAGGTATATAGCAAAGGTAAGCAATGGGATATAATGGGATTGTGATTAGCAGGTGTGCGCCCCTCCACAGGAAGCCAATTTTTTTGTCGTGTTTTGAGTCGACTCAAAACACGACTTATCACAACAGGTGTGCGCCCCTCCGCAGGAGGCATCTGCTCGCATCACACTAGAATACAGATGGCACCATTGAATGGTGCATAACCGCACAATCCACACCCACCCGTCCACAAACCCACCCACGCACCTACCCAACCCCTCACCTACCCACCCACAACCCCCCCCAGCCCCGCAACCCCTCACCCACTCACCCACCCACCCAGCCAGCCAGCCACCCAGTCAGTCACCCACCCAGCCAGCCAGCCACCCAGTCAGTCACCCACCCAGCCAGCCAGCCACCCAGTCAGTCACCCACCCAGCCAGCCAGCCACCCAGTCAGTCACCCACCCAGCCAGCCAGCCACCCAGTCAGTCACCCACCCAGCCAGCCAGCCACCCAGTCAGTCACCCAGCCAGCCAGCCAGCCACCCAGTCAGTCACCCACCCAGCCAGCCAGCCACCCAGTCAGTCACCCACCCAGCCAGCCAGCCACCCAGTCAGTCACCCAGCCAGCCAGCCAGCCACCCAGTCAGTCACCCACCCAGCCAGCCAGCCACCCAGTAAGCTAGCCACCCAGTTAGCCAGCCACCCATTCGCCCGCCCTCTCACCCACCCAACCACCCACCGTCAACGATGGTCTCCATGGGAATGAATCCCCCTAGCGAAGCGACCACCTTGTGGAAGGTGCACCTGCGAGCTCTGCTGTTTTCTCACACCATAACTGCACAAAATACCCACCAATGGTTCCCCCCTCCACACACCCACCCACCGTCAACGATGGTCTTCATGGGAATGAAGCCGCCTAGCGAGGCCACCACCTTGGGGAGATGCCTCACCTCTCTTGCTTGCTCCCACCATAGCTGTGCAATCACCTCTCTTGCTTGCTCACGCCATAGCCCCACCCATCCACCCACGCACCGTCAACAATGGTCTCCATGAGAATGAAACACCCTAGCGAAGCGACCACCTTGGGAAGATGCACCTGCGAGCGCTGCTGTTTTCTCACACCATAACTGCACCAAATAACCACCAATGGTTCCCCTCCCCCCTCCACACACCCACACACCGTCAACAATGGTGTCCATGGGAATAAATCCGCCTACTGAGGCCACCACCTTAGGGAGATGCTTGGCCGCCTGCCCTGTGACCTGCGTCACCAGAGGGGTTTGGATGAACTGGGAGGCAAAGCAGGGGAAAAGGGAGGAGTTACGGGGAGCAGGATTAGGTTGAAACATGGGAGGTGAACCTGTGACGGCGTCACCAGAGGGGTTTCGATGAACTGCAAGTGATGGAGAAGATAAGGGAGGAGACACGGGAGCAGGACAATGGTCCTGCGTAATACAATACCAGAGCAGGACAATACTGCATAATAATGGGATATAGATCTTGGCTGCCTGCCCTGTGACCTGCGTCACCAGAGGGGTTTTGATGAACCGGGAGGCAAAGCAGGGGATAAGGGAGCAGGCAACGGTGAGGGGACAAGATAAGAGCCACGGGAGCAGGAATACATTGAGTGCGTGTTGCATGGGGAACATGTGTGGCATGTGATGCATGTGGGGCATGTGGGGCATGTGTGGCATGTGATGCATGTGGGTCATGTGTGGCATGTGGGGCATGTGATGCATGTGGGTGTGGAGCAAATGGAAGTTACCTCAGGGCAGAGAGCATTGATGCGAATGCCAGACAGTGGCATGGTGTAGAGCAAGCAAATGAGGAAGGGGTGGGTAGGGGAGCATAGGGAAGTTACCTCAGGGCAAAGAGCATTGATGCGAATGCCACTCCCAGCGAGATGAGCCAATGAGCGTGTGAACATGACCACTCCAGCTGCGCTCCATACAGTCACATTGTGCATGCAGTCACATCATGCACAATCACATCCCATGCAGTCACATCATGCACACAGTCACAAAGTCACATCACAAACTGAAAACATGCAGGAGGATACATGACTGTCAGGCTCGGACTATCAGAGGAACGAGAAGGGTGCAAGTCACAGTGACAAGCGGAAGAACAAGGGAGAAGCAAGAGGGAGGGGGAGGGAGGGAGGGAGGGAGGGAGGGAGGGAGGGAGGGAGGGAGGGAGGGAGGGAGGGAGGGAGGGAGGGAGGGAGGGAGGGAGGGAGGGAGGGAGTAGGTCTTACCTTTGGATGCGGCGTAAATGGGACCGTTCGGTGAGGGGTAGAGCCCTGCTGCAGACGCCACGTTCACTATCACGCCTCTTTTGCCGCCCTTGCTGCATTTCCCAGACAGCTGCATTGCGTGCACCTGGGGTCAAGGGGCAGGCAGGGAGCAAGAGGAGGCAGGGAGCAAGGAGCGGAGAAGCAGGCGTGAAGGATCGGCGTGAGAAGAGGAGGCAGGGAGCAAGAGGAGGCAGGGTGCAAGAGGAGGCAGGGTGCAAGAGGAGGCAGGGTGCAAGAGGAGGCAGGGAGCAAGAGGAGGCAGGGAGCAAGAGGAGGCAGGGAGCAAGAGGAGGCAGGGAGCAAGAGGAGGCAGGGAGCAAGAGGAGGCAGGGAGCAAGGCACGGAGAAGCAGGTGTGAAGGATGAGGGCGAAAGGAGTGAGAAGACTGCGTATCCGCGTTGTCAGAACTCCTCTTGACATCAAAAGCCCTCAGAACCTCCAGAAAGCGTTCAAACGTGTGCCGTTAATGTGCAACGTAGTAGGCAATAAGGAGAGGCGATTTGAGCGGCAAGCGAAGAGAGAGGTAACAGCACAAAGTGAGTTTACAGCAGTGAGTTCACACATTTGTGCAGTGCTGGACTGAGGTTACATTTGAATCGACTCAAAAGTCACCTAGTTCACACATTTGTACAGTGCTGGACTGAGGTTAACCTCCAACACTCACAGCAATGAGTGCTCGCATTGTTCAGAGTCAGACGTGAACGTCCCAACACTTGTGTTCTTTCACATGGTTCTGTTATGTCTCAAAACACTTTCAGGTAGAGAGCGAAAGGAAACCTACAGCAAGGCGCGTCCCATCAACAACAGCCGTCAGATCGACGTCCAACACGTGGCGCCAGGAACCCTTGCCATCTGCTGACGTGTCCTTGAGGAACCATTCCTTCTCGCCTATGCCCGCATTGTTGAGACAGACATCGAGTCGGCCACACCATTGCATGTGCACGGCGAATGCACGGGCCAGGTCAGCTGGGGATCAATAAAGGGAGGGAATGAAAACAATTGGAGGTAGAAACAATGCTCAACAGAGAGGGGCGGGGCGAGCAGAGCTAATCCCTCTCCCCTAAGGCCGCATTGTTCAGGCAGACATCGAGACGCCCACACCATTGCATGTGCGAGGCGAATGCACGAGCGAGCCAGGTCAGCTGCGGAGTGAGGGGAAGGGGGGGGGGGGGATGATAGAAAATGGAGGAAGAAAACAATGCTCAAGAAGGACGGACAAGCAGAGCCAGTCCCTATCCTTTGCCCATGTTGTTCAGGCAGACATCGAAACAGCAGCACATTGCATGTGCGAGGAGAATGCACAGGCCAGGTCAACTGGAGAGAGGCCAGAAAGGAGGAACCAAAGAGAAAACAGACATGTCACATTCTGGTCACTTGTACCTTATAAACCGATCTTGGTACATATGATTGGTACAGATAAGATCCCATTCTTGTGCCAAACGTTTCTTACAAGGCTTGCTGACGTCACACTGGACGAACCTCGCTGCATCTTGCCTCCCCGTCTGCTCCCCAATCAGCAGCACCGTTTCTAAGCCTCCTGCCTCTGAGAAATCCACAATGGTCACCCGCAAGCCCTTAGACGCCAGGTACAGAGAAGCTGCTCGGCCTGAGAAGCAAACGACAAGGAAATCATAGAGCGAATAGAAGAGTTATTTCTGCAACATGAGTAAGAAATTTGAAGAATTTGATAAAATCTGCAAATTTTATGTTTCTTGGCCAGATCCAGTGAATGCTGTGCATTGTCTTCCTAAGCCAAGAGAGAGAAGGCAAGAGAAGAAAGAGAAGCCCCGAACGCGGTTACATTTGACTTACGAGTTAACCATTTCGTACAGACTACCTTGGCTTACTGAACGTACGGACTGACTGCTTCGTATGAAACACCTCGGGTATCACTAACAGAGCAGATGGGACGAGTTTGTACAGCATTATCTCTTCAGTCGACTCAAACGAGCCGAAATTGCAGAGAGTAAACTGTCCGCGTACCGATTCCCGAGCCTGCTCCCGGGGTGACTTTTGAGTCGACTCAAAACTCAAACGAGCCGAAATTGCAGAGAATGATCTGTCCGCGTACCGATTCCGGCATTGATTTGTACAGCAGATCTTTTCAGCATTAATCCGTACGTGTACCGATTCCCGAGCCTGCTCCCGTGACCAGCGCTGAGATGCCGTCAGTGCTTCATGACCAGCGTCGATAAATAGTACGCTGAGGAATGCACAGAGGACGTTGTATGCGTACCTATGCCAGAGCCTGCTCCCGTGACCAGCGCTGCCATGCCGTCAGTGAGCTTCATGGCCGACAATTTAATCGGAACACTCTGAATTTGACGACGGCCTGATGGAACAAAGGCACCTCGATCGGAATTCGTAAAACAAACGACGGAAATGACGTCCGACACCGGGAAACGCGAGGAACGGCAAGTGAAAAAACGCAACAGACTTTTGAGACGCCTCGAGAATTGCGAGCTCGATGAACTTCAAAAGCAAAGTCAGCGAGCAAGAGTGGCGAGGTGATGCGGACAGGCGAAGGTCGATGCTCTCTAATCAACGAGCCAGTCAATGCGCTGTGGAATGTCTGTGAGAGAGCTTGTCCCTGGGAAAGACTGGTGGAGGCAAAGATTGTCACCAGACGCACAAATAGCTGCTGGATGAAACTCGTGGCGTCAAGCAGAAAGGTTGAATTCGCGAGATTGTCAGCGACATAATCGAAATTATTGCAATGGTACAGTGGCGAATGCATTGCACGCTGTATATATCGCAGAAGTTAATAGTTCATTGATATTCATAATTGCTAACACTTGAAATGCGACTGAGGATTTACTTCTTGATCTCCATTTACCGACTGATATGCACACAACTCCATCCAAAAGCATTTGCATTTGTTTTTGAACCAAATTATATACAACAATATTAGGGAACATGAATTACAGAATGAACTTATACCTGCTTTGCAGGTCATTCTTGGTTTCAGGCTGGGGCCCCAAGGCCCTTGCGTCAGCCGCTACTTCCCTGGCAGTAGCAGCCGCTTGATTGGCTGCAGCCACCACGTCAGACAAACTCTCATCCGAAGCCGACAGTGCTTCTGCCCTCTTCTTGGCCCTCCTTGCAGCCTGCAAGTTAAGCCAGGAGCCAGAAGACACGGTGAGAGGCGAACGGTGAGTAGATGGCCATGAAACAATGTACAAGGAAGAACAAAACAAGCCTTCAGGGAAAAACGAGAACCTGGAGGAAAAAACGTTCAGGTTTACAAGAAGCCACGCTCACCTCTACGGCTGCTAGGACTTTAGAAGGGTCCACTAATGGGCGCCCATTGACTGGAGACAGGCTCGCTACGAGCGCTGATGGTGACACTGCTGATGGTGCTGCAGCTGATGGTGACGATGCTGCTGAAAAGGCTGAGGGCGACGATGGACTGGAGGACGCACCCCAGCTGCCACAGTCTGAAACTGAGTCAGAAACCGCGTCAAAGGCAGAGGCCGCAGATGGAGCCGAGCTGGCAGTGGCAGGGGTGGCAGCAGCAGCAGAAGTGGCAGAGACAGCGGCAGGAGGGGTGTCACAGCAGCGTGTGAGCAGCGCTCCCAGGTGCCAGTGGCCCATGAGGGAGTCCCCACTGCGGAAGGAGTATCGGCCCAGCCCCTGCTTGCACCCGTCGTGCCACGCGCCCTCGTAGCACTGCCCGTTGCTGAAGGTATACACGCCGTACCCGTGCATGGCATCTCGGAAATACTCCCCCGCGTACACGTCGCCGTTTCTGGTAAGGGATCATACAGGAATACGGGGAGCAAGGGTAGATTCAGAAGCCTGTTGCTGAACGTGTACTCGCCGTACCCGTGCATGGCATCGCGGAAATACTCCCCCATGTAGGTATCTCCGTTCCTGGTGAAAAGGAAAGGCACGGTAATTAGGGGAGGGGAGGGTGAATAAGAGGAGGGAAGGCAGTGTCAGAAGAACGTTGCTGATGGCGCTGCTGATCCCCTGCGTACGTGTCGCCGTCTATGGTAAAATTGGAAGTACAGGTGAAAGAGGGAGATTGGTGTCAGACATACCGAGCCATGAGGCAAAGGTGAAAGTTTCGTCTTATATTATCTCAATAGCATGTATGATTATTGAAATGTCTTTAAGAAACCCTCTGCCACGAGCATCAGCCACATTCGTCAGCCACCCCCCAACCCCTGGCAGTTACCCTTTGTTTCATCCTCCATAAGCAATACTACTTCAAGGTGCAAAGCTGTAAAACTGGTCCCCGAGTTTCCGCCCAGGGTACCTCACGCGGTGCAAGGAGGTATAAACATACTCAAAGCGGCAGAAAAACGGTACCTGAAGGTATAGATCCCGAAGCCGTGCTTCAGCCCGTACGAGAACTGCCCCGCGTACGTGCTCCCATCCGCGCACATCTGCAACCCCGCGCCGTGGCTCTGCCCGCGCGCCCACGCGCCCGCATACGCGTCCCCCGTGTGGAACTGGTACAGCCCCCGCCCCTCGCGGTATCCGCGTTTGTACTCGCCTCGGTACACGCTGCCGCTCTCCCACGATTCTACACCCAGCCCGCTGTATTTTCCGTCCGCCCACTCGCCTTCGTATTTCCCCGCAGCTTCGTCGAAATAATACACGCCGCTTCCAGACGCTACTCCGTCACGCGTCTCGCCTTCGTATCTATCCCCGTTAGTGTACCGCCTCACGGTGAGACATAACGCGTCGTCTACAGCATCTTCGGACTCTGATAGGCTTTTGCAGGTCCCTCTCGGCCGCAAATAGCGCAGAAAATCCGCGGAGCCGGCGGAAGATCGCTCCGCCAGATGCGCGGAGCTGCGCCTCCCGCGCGGAGAAGGCGAAATCTGCGCCTGCCACCACACCGCGCGCCAAAACCCTCCGCCCAGCCCCATCTTGCCGGCTTTTCCGCAAAGGTCGCGCATGAACGCGGATCCCCCCGATGCGCACCCGCTCCTTTCCGCGGAACCCCGACCACCGCCCCCCCGATCGGCGGAAACAAGCGCCGCGAGGGGAAGGCTCAAATGCGGATGCCGCCGAATCAGGTGGATGATGGCGAATCGCGTCAAAGCGGCGGTGCCGAAGAACAGGAAGAACAGAGCGGTCAGGTCCAGCCACGCGGCAGTCGTTGATTGGTAGATGGAAGCCGTAGCACCAGCGGGGAGCTTCGGAAAAGGGAATATGCCGCGGTGGAGAGGTGTTCGAGCCGGCAACCCGCCGCGCACGAGCAGCACGAGGATCGCGACGGCTCCGAAGCCGACGAGCGGTAGCACCTGCGAGTTTGAAAGTGGTAGAACGGCCGTGGAAGGGCGTGAGACGAGAAAAAGCACCTGAAAAAAAGCGCCCAAAAAAAAGCACTTGCGAGCTCGAAAGTAGGACGGTGTGGGAAGTAGGGGAGAGAGCGGAAGGGGAGGAGGGCAGGGAAGGGGCGTGGAAAGGTGGGGGGACGGATGCCAGCAAGAAAAGGGCGTGCGACGTATGGAGCTACAAATAAGACTTGTACCTGCTTGAGGTCATGTGGATGAGCAAAAAGTACCTGTTTGCTGGATCGAGCGCGGCTCGGCATATAGTGGTTGTCATTTTCGTGCCCATGCGAGTCCTTCGGTATCGACACGCAGCACGATCCGCATGGCGACCTTTTGCAGCAATCGCCCTTGGCGAGAGCATCCGCGCTAAAAGATTGCCCGCTATAAGCATCCGCGTGATTCATTACAGGTATGTAGAGGTGTGTCTGTAGCCAGGAGATTCCTTGTTTAACGAAGGACGAGGTATAAGTGACGCCGGGCAGAGTTAAGAGCTTTCTGTGGATGAAGTCCGAGTCAAATGAACAAAGCTTCTTAATCAGCGCTCTCGACTGTCCTTTGGTGTCTAAGAATAAAGCCGCTATGACGAGCGATATCGGAAGGTTCTCGGATGCTGCGTCGTCGTCGAACTCATTGTTGTCGTTACCATCCTCCCTATTATCCTCCTCGATAACGTACTTTGACGAAACGCAATCACCCGCATCCGCGCTATCTTTCCTGGCCACACTACTAATCCGCGAACGGGAGGTAGCGTGAGCGACGCGCCTGCGAGGCCCGGAACCGTGCTCCGATTGCAGAGCACAGGAAAAAGAAGCAGGCTCACGATGCGAAGCGTCGCATTCAAACTCCTCGCACTCTGGAGAAATCTGGAAACGGCTTGGAGCTCGAGGAGCTTCGTTGGGTGATTTCTGGGATTCAGCCGCAGGGTGTGGGATGCCCTGTTGGCCGGAAAACGAGCTGCTGTGCATACCTCTCGCTTCAGTTCTGCGAGGAAGGAAATAGCTGTGCTCCACCGGAACGAGCTCCTAGATACCTAGTACTGGGGAAGCGGAGGGAAAGGGAGCAGATGGCTAGCTAGCGAGCAGCAATGCCGACTGGAGGATAGGATACGACGCAATGACTGGGGGGACTAGAAAAATGGGTGCAAAAAAAGGCAAAATGTACCGACGAGCGGGAAGAGAAGGCGCCGCATTTGACTTGCTCGAGACACGCGATGCGAAGCCGAAGGGAGGACACTACGTACTGTAGTACGATATGGTTCTATGTCAAAAGTTTGTCGGGTTGAGAAGAGGGGAGGCGAGATGGGAGGCAGTGGCGGAGGGCGAGGTGTACTGTATGTGTATCACAACTGGGGAATCGTGATGTGATGGGTATATCTCTGATGACGTAGAGCGTTAGAGGCGGTTGAGTACTATATAATACGATAGAATACAAAACAGTCAGGTTTCGTATGGTAGCGCTAACATGGGGTTGACAGGAGAGTTGGAGAGGTAGGAGGGAGGAGCAGCTGCGTGCAAGCGGTGCGGTGGTGCGGGGGTCAGTGATGTGAATGTCAATGCCAGCCGCAAATGTGAGATTTCTCGTTGCTGAGGTGTACCGAGTCCACGCTTACGACAGCAGCATGAGTCACTGACAGTGAATGGAGTGGAGGGTGACGGTGGTTGGGCGAGGCTGGGTGCGAAGTGCTAAGCTGGATGGACAGACGGGTTGAGCTTGGGCCAACAAGCTTCAAATTTTCAGCGAATCGATTGGACCTTCAGGCTTGAACCATGTCATGCTGACGAGAAACACGCTGGAGCAGAAGAAGTGGAGCCGCAAGTGATAGCCTCACTAGTGTTCTTGAAAAGTCAATTCTACGTGTCACCCATAGATTTGGGAGACACAGTGACCACGAACTGCTTTAACACGTCCGCTTTCCACATGCCCCAACCATGGACGACCATCAGCGCGCTGGCCACGCGGGTTTGGTAAAGGACGACGTGGAAACACGGAAGGTTGCTCGAAGATTGCGTGTGCCAGAAAGGTTCCTGGAGCCACCTTCTGTTCTTTAACAGGCGCTTAAAGTATAATAGATACATAAATTTGTACGTACACTTATTGTACTATACTATCAAGGTCTCAAGCATGAATAAAAAACCGTCACATCCTAGATCTCTATCTAGAATCTTCTGCCGAGATTTCACTCCAAAATTCTCTAAGCGTTTTTAATAAACTTTCCATTTTACGACGACGTGTCAAGGTCTTATGAATGGCACAGCGAGTAAGAATATTAAGTTTTGGGCCATGCTTCGATGCCCACCCCCCCCCCCCCCCCCCCCCCCCCCCCCCTGGATAGTAGGGTCGACTCAGGAGGGGTCAAAATCGTTGCTGCTCTCTGCCATTTTCAACGATTTATGACTTCCTTGGAAGGGGGGGGAGCCAGAAATCAGCTAAAAAAGGAATACACCAAACACATATGTGTCAGATGACTGGCTAATTTGGCATGTTTCAACATAGTTTGGGTCGATGTAGCCCCTCGATGTCAGAGGTCCACTGATGATCCCCGATCGATCCTAGGGAAGGGTTACATGCTCGTTTTCCTGTGGGGTTATGGGCGCACTGACTCGCTACTTAACAAGTCCTTTTATCCCAATGGTCTGGTGGTTGGGATTCTGAGATGGTATCAGAGCGAAGGTCTCGGGTTCGAATCCCGGTGTGTGCACTTCGGGCATCCCAGTACGGGGGGGTGTCAGAGGTCCACTGGTGATCCCCGATTGATCCTAGGGAAGGATTACAGGCTCGTTGTCCTAGGAGGTTATGGGCGCACTGATCCGCTACTTAACAAGCACTTTTATCCCAATGGTCTAGTGGTTGGGATTCTGACACTCGAGCCGACCACTCGTGTTGATATGTGTGTTCACCAGTCCTCGATGGTGCGAGCCAAGCCGAAGTCGGCTACCACTGGAGTGAAATCCTGAGAGTTACAGGTTACACTTGGAAAGAACTGGACATCGAGTTGATATGAAACAACCCCAAATAAGATGGGATGATGAGATATCAGTGGGTGCTGCTGATACGAATGCAGGATATAGAAGGAGGAAACACATCCTAACTGAAGAATCATCTAAAAGCAAGATGCGAGGATACACACACAGAAAGAGGGAAAGCTGTAACCAGTCGTACCTCTCGCGGAAGCACATTCGACGGCTTGAAATCGCGGTGAATGAGCCTCTTTTCGTGAATGAACCCCATCTTCCTCTGAACGAGTCTGCGGATGGTCGATCTCCCATTGAGCTCGTGCTCCCAAGAGCATAAAGTTGAGCTCCCGCTCGGTAAGATCTCCGCCTTCATGACGAGCAATCAAAGCAGCCTCCTAATCAGCTAAGCTGTCGAACGCCTCGAGGATTTCCTCAGATTCTCCCATATCGACGAGCCAAGTTCAATGAGACATAACGAAGAAGAATGGGCTCTATGCGTGTTCGATCCACGCTCACCGCACCATGCTGTCAAAATTATATTTATTATAACTGCATGTAGTTCTAGCAGTAGTGTAGTTATTTAAACTTTGTATTGGTGGTGCACCTTATGTGTTTCCTTTGCTATATGTACTTCAAAACTATAGTGAAGCTCCTCATTCTCCCAACTTTTTCTCAACTCACTCGAACTCCTACCTAGGCACAAAACCGCTCGACACCTAAAGCTCGGGCCTAGGCTACTAAGCCTAGGCCCCACCTCTCTACCTCTCAACTTACCCATTCTTATTACTCTCGACATGGTATCAGAGCTGAGTTCGTCCTGGCCTGTGGGCCCGCTTTACACTTCCGCTGCTAATATTTTCCGGTCGCGCGCCTAGGGCGCGTGACGATTTTATTTTTACCTTGTCCCGCCCACGGGCGTGTGACTCCTTCCCTGCCCGTCGCGCGCCCCGTGGCACGTGACGGTGCCCTTCAACTGCCCATCGTGCGCCCCGTGGCACACGATGGTGCCCTGCTCGTCGTGTGCCCCGAGGCACACGATCGGGCCCTTTTATTCTACCCGTCGTGCGCCCCGTGGCACTGGCCCGCGACGGGCCTTCTTTCCGCCCCTGCACTCCCTGAAGCCGCCCCTGACCCATCTGCACCGACACCTCTTCGCCGCTCTGCGGCTTTCTTCCTTCCCACCCCCTTTCTTCCTTTGCCTCCCTGCAGCCGTGGGGAGGAGGGTATGGGGGTGGAGGGTGTTGGAGTGTGGCGTCACCTCTCTCCCTTCCCCTCCTCCTTCTTTCAGTCCCACCGCTGCAGCTGCCGCTGGGGGAGGAGGGTGTGAGGATGTGGGGGAGCAGGGGGAGTGGTATCGGGGTGGCGGGTGTGAGGCAACAAGCAGCCGTCCCTCCACCTCTCCTCTCTTCCCCCTTTCTCTGCTGCTTCTGCAGCAGTGTGGGGGAGGGGAAGGGGGAGGGTGAGGAGATGGAGGGGGTGTACCTGCTGTTGCTTGTTTTATTGTTCGTTGGTGTACCTCTGCAGGTTGTGCTCTGCACTTAGCTATTCCTGCATGCAGTTACGGGGGGATGTCAAAATTATATTTATTATAACTGCATGTAGTTCTAGCAGTAGTGTAGTTATTTAAACTTTGTATTGGTGGTGCACCTTATGTGTTTCCTTTGCTATATGTACTTCAAAACTATAGTGAAGCTCCTCATTCTCCCAACTTTTTCTCAACTCACTCGAACTCCTACCTAGGCACAAAACCGCTCGACACCTAAAGCTCGGGCCTAGGCTACTAAGCCTAGGCCCCACCTCTCTACCTCTCAACTTACCCATTCTTATTACTCTCGACACATGCAGAGATTTCTGCTCTAATGGGAGTTGGAGCTCTACGGAATGCTATCTCTGCAGCCACGTAATCTTTGTTGTTCACTAAGGAGAAAATTGGTAATGTGTTGAAAAGAGCATAGATTTGGCACACACAGGAAATTAGATAGAATGGAAAAAAATATAGAATACAAGGGGTGAAGAACTACCCAACCACTGAACCTAACAAGACAACGTTCTCATCAGACCGTTTAGATTGTCAGAATCCCAACCACTAGACCATTGGGATAAAAGGGCTTGTTTCAGTAGCGGGTCAGTGCGCCCATAACCCCCCAGGCAAACGCGCCTGTAACCCCCCTTAGGAACGATCGGGGATCTCACAATGTAGCTCTACTGACATAGATAAATACCACTTAACTACGCTTTGCCAAGTCAGCATCAGCAGGTGAAAATTATTGTGATAATTGAGGAAGGAATGATTGCATTGAGCAGCA